CACACACACACACACACACACACACACGCACGCACACACGCACGCACACACATATATACATATATATCAAAACAATTTGTTTTGATTTACTCATAATATATGTGTAAGTATATATGCATGCGTGTCTGTGTATGTGTATGTGTGTGTAGTATATATATATATATCGAGCTGCATGCACTTGAACAACATGGACGCTCTCCACCACGACAGGTTTGAGCAATGTCTACGATTCCAAATCCACATCGATTGGCAAATAATCATTACTCGAACATTGTACGATACGTTAAATGCTAGAACCTTAGTCCTATTCGCGTTACATCGTAAGTAAACTTGTGCATGTTAAAATAACACAGTGAAGTGCAGAATTGAAAACGTTATAAAAAGTCAGACCGGCACCCGTAGGAATAGTAAAACATTCACGACATACAGAAAACATAAAACTGCGTTACTATCACCACACGTGAAACAGCCATACCTACACGTTGCGATAAAGACTTTCCTCCTCTAATCGGAGCCACCGAATGTCAAAATCAAACGGAAGTAAAAGAAAACGTTTCTTTCCTTGAAATTCAGCTCGATTTTCGAAATGGCTGTGCTTTACTAGCACGTTCCCAGTGCCACGCCAATGAGTCGGTCTGGTCGCAAAAACCAGACAATGGCGCGCAGTGGGAGTGCACAGGATGTACTTCAAGCACTTACTTCTACTCACACTGCCGAGAGACCTCGAACAGAACAAACACCGCTCTCGCAACGCTTAGGTAATGGCCGACTCGGGGACGATAACGCAGCCTTAACAGTTAACACAGACGCTCGTATATCTATTCAAGAACCTCCTCGGCTTAACATGCTCGAAAAACATCGGAGTGAATCCAGCCCGGAAGCCGAGAGAGCCATATTTACCCCATCGGCAGACCAAACCCCATGGAAACTCCCAACTCACACACCGCCACAAAACACGCAGACATGTAAAGAAACGGACAGAAGCCCGACAGAGACGAGACGCAAGAGGAAGCAACAAGGCATGCAGAGACGTGGGCTCGGCCGCGGCGTCGGCGCGGCGGCGGCGGCGGCGCGCGCGCGGGATCTCGCGGCGCGTTCTCGCTCTCACCCTGTTGTCGTACGTCGCGTCTGGATTCTCGTCGCAAGCTATCACCTCCGGCGCCATCCTGTACGTGCGGCGACACACGAAAAGAGAATGACAAGAAGCAAACGCAGTTTGACACGGTGTCGACATCGGAGACGAACATGGAGCGGGGGGGAAGGGAGGAGAGGGGGCGGCAATACGACACACCTACCAACGCGGCGAGCAGCACGAGACGAGGCGACCCGTTCGCCGCCGCCGCGGAAAATCGAGATCGACCCGAGATTTCCCGGCGACTTCGCCGGGGTCACGGCAGCGCGGCGGCGGCGGGGTCGCCGCGGAGGACTGCTCGCCTAGACAGCGCGCGCAGAATTCGGACGCCGGCTCGCGCGGCTACGAGACTCGAGACCTCGAGTCTCGCGCCGCCTCGGCACGTCTCGAGTACGAAGCTGGGCGCGGGGGTCGCCGCGCGTCCGAAGCCTGCGCGCGCGGGAGGGCAACACACAGCGTCACGCCGGGCGTCACACTCACCCTCGTGTCATAGGTTGCATCGGGATTTTCATCGCATGCAATAACCTCGGGGGCCATCCTGGTGAGAACAAAGCAACTGTGCAGTTAACGATGCCGCTCCCCGTGTCCCGCAGACGACCGTCGCCATCGCTTGGCAACGCCCGGGGGCTGACGACAGATGCCGTTGCTCGGCAACGCCAGCGAGCTGACGACAGATGCCGTTGCTCAGCAACAGCCGCGGGGTGACGACCAATGCCGTTGCTTGGCAACTATTACTAGTGGTTGTCAGTAGAAGTTGGAACGTTCCAGCACGCCCAAACAATTTATCGAATCGTTTTTCAAATTATCACAGGTCACGCATGACAGGATCTCTATTCAACGGAAGAATTTTGCTGAACAATTAACCATTTAATTGAACCATTAGTCTGGTTATTGAAATTGCTGCAGAAATGAACATTTGATAGTTGTGCTGTCTTCAGAGGCAGCAGATAATAAAGTATTGCTACTTTAAGTAGCATTTAATGAAAAGTAAAATAAAATGGGAAATTGCATGCCATCGACCATCCTGCATGAAAATTCATACATTGGACATATAAATAATTAGTGATAAATACACCAAACAACGATTCTTAACTAAATTAGATTCACAAAAAGACTAACACGTCATAAAACGTGTATCAACATTATGAGATAAAGTTTACCAAACCACTAATGAGTATCGTTACGTTAATGTAAATCTAAACTTCCCACAAGATTATGTATTATTTTGAACACGGTACAACTTCCTTTAATCGCCGACTCTTACTGGTTATTTCATCATTAAATTTTTCATTCGTATTACCAGCGTAACGTCGTTGCCATTCGTGTAGGGACAGCTTACCAGTATGGAGTGCCGATAAAGGTGTTTCTTCGTCCGATGGTCCTATCTAACTGTGCGCTGACTCCGAAATCAACTGGGGAACGCACGAGAAACAAACACGCTCAATGAAATAGTATAGTATACTACTCCGAACAAGGACAAAACGAAGGTCAAAGCGTACAGTACCGAAATAAACAGCATAGTTGGTCACGCTAAACAGTAAATAATAACAGAGCTTGGCTCGCACCATAAACTTGAAAAAATATACACCACGGGTCATTCTACGCGGTACGAAAATATACAGCATACCTATGCAGTGCATGATACCTACCACGCATATCAAGTTATTCCTCACATATCACGCTCGTCTATACATCGCAACATACACTGAACCTGACACATTTAAGAGCGGAACACACACACAAAATTTTAAAGTTAAGTGCGTGATTGCATGCGTACCAAGCTTGACCTCCGCATTGTCGGTGAGCAGCACATTCTGACCCTTGATGTCTCTGTGAATCACCTTGCTTCCGTGTAGGTGACTCAAACCCTGAAAGACACGATAATAAAACCCGACCATTGAGGAGAGCCATAGATGGACGCCAGACGGGAAAAGAAGAAGGCGAAGACCCAAGGAGACCTGGAGAAGGACCATCGAGAAAGAGATGCGGATGTGCGACCTGTCATGAGACACGCTGAGGACAGTAGCAGCGGACCGACGACGTTGGAGACCTCTTTTCACTGCCTTATGTGCCACCTAGGCACCTACGAGAGATAACACATTGAGAAGAGACGCGTAGGCCCATGTTTAGTACCAGGAAGGAGCCACGGCAGCAGACATGCCGGGTTTTAATGCTTTCCTCTGGCTCACAACGTGTCAGCCGTGTGTAGTACGCCTACCAGGCTGTGTTACACGCAGCATTTTACCCGTGTGGGGTTCGGAGGTGCTACACACTCAAAACTATGGTCTTATCTTCCATCGGGGGACTAAGAGGATAACAGAACACACTGAAAACAGCTAGGAAAATAATGCAGTAGTTACCCCCACCAGCTCAGGGTTAGATGGTATGGCCCAGATCAGGGTATCCCCCCCCCATCAGGGTTTCTGCCACCCAATCAAATTCTCCCCTCTACACGATCACACACTTGAGGAAGGAAACCTTGCTAATGTTATATTTCTTCCACATTCTCACTCGCGTCTCTCTTCCGGCCCGCTGCTCGCTCCTGCACGCCACTTACCCTTAATATCTCTCTGCACATGTAGGCAATCCATTCTTCTTTGAAAGCACTTCCTTTCGAAGCTGAAAATCAAGAAGGCAAACAAGTGCATGCGTTAGTAACGGGGCTGGCGAGGCACGAGTGGATCACCTATACCTACACACTACCATACTAGTAGCATTCAGTCATTTACCCTTCAATTACACCCACGAATGGCCAGAGCACGGTGACTAGTACGCGCTCCCTCGTCCACTTTGCGCCGCAATTTTGGGCTTAGTCGTAGGTTTTACTTACAACCCATACACACACGCGACGGTGACAATAAGGGAATCATAAACGTGAGAACTTGAGCCAGTTCAAAGAGTCTCGCACCCGAAATCGGCCGTCGCTGCACCAGTGGTGAACTTCTGGGTCAGTACAAACTAAAATGACCCCCGCTACCGAAACAATGAATGGCGTGTGTGTGTGTGCGTGTGCGTTTGCATAATGTGACTACGTGGAATATAGGACAACAAAACCCAGTTGTGAAACGCGACGAGGGCTCTCTATATATGAGTAGCACTGCAAGAGCTTCACATGGATCTAGATCATGGCTCCATCTACACCTGGATGTGTATCGCATTCTCTGAAAGACGTGACTAACCAATCACTAACGTCTGCAGCGCTTGTGCAGACAACAGCAAAAAGCGACAGCAAAAACTAGCAAATTTAGCTGAAACCCAGCAGGTTTAGAGAAAAACCTGAGAAATCGGCTCACAACTTCATTTCACGCGACTCTTGTTTTAATGCCCCTGCCCAGCGAACACACAAGAGAATATATATATATATATATCAAATTCTTTTCACTTTTCGGACTACTAGAAAGAACATCTATTTCCAAATGAGGAGAAATAAGCTTCTGTGGGGGTGCAGGTCCGACATCTCTCTCTCTCCCTCACTCTCCAACTACATGCCCATGAAAAGTGTTACACGCCTCGCGGCCCGCACGCTCACACATTATGTGTGCAGCTGTTTAGCAGATGTGCCGGCGGCTGTCTCTGATAGTTCCGCTTGCGCTCATATATAGCTAATCGGTGGGGGGGGGGGGGTTCGGGAGAACCGAAGGTCCAGCACAGCTCAAGCTAAGCTGTTGGCGGGACTAGTGAGTGGCCGGCTACCGTGGTGGTGGTGGGATAGGCTGCTGCCACGTAGCTTCTGTCGGATGACAGGGGATGACAGATTGACATAGAATAGATGCCTCGCCATGCAAACTGTACTCTGTGCGCACGCGCATGCATGCCCGCACACACACGCACGCACACAAGCATCGGTATACGCTCATGCACACACAACACACACACACACACGCACGGACGCACGAGAGCACGCGCGCACGCCCACACACACGCACGCAAGGACGCACACGCACGCACACGCACGCACACGCACACACGCACGCACGCACACATACACAACGTGGCCCAAAACATTTGTCTAAACACTACGCGGGCTGTCAAGATGTGTTCTCCGGCAAATATACGCACGCATTCACGCTTCTTCTGTGACTCATGCTACAGGATAATGTCGCTGCGTGCAGCACAGCTACGCCTGCAGAGTGTATGTAGCACCGGGGGTGAATTCGTCATTATTCACCACTGATAGCACGACGCACACATCGGACCACCTAAGCACCACCACCGACTAGTCTACCCACATAATCATTACTGCCGCAAAAGAGAAAACAGCTTGCAGCATAATGGTGTCGTGAGGGGAAGGGGGGACACAGTTCATGCTGCAACACAATCACTCCTGCTGCATAGTTAGATCGGTTGCACAGTTAATCCTGCAGCATAGTTAAGTCTGCATCATAGTCACTCCTGCTGCATGGTTGCACCTGCACCATGCCAGGCACGTGCAGCTTAGCAGACATGTGCAGCTTAGCGGACACGTGCAGCATAATTGGGCCTGCAGCGAAGCTAGCCTAGCAGCGTATTAGCTGATATCTGAAACTTCTCCTCTGTGCTGAGTGTACGTACACACGCGCACAGGTTTTAAGGATGTAGCGGTCATCACTTCCCGCCTTGAATGCTTCCTATTCACCGGCAGCCAGCCCCCGGCTTTTCTGTTATCCGTGCGCCAGCCAGCGCCACACGCGCACACGCACACACGCACGCGTACGCACACACACAAACGCGCACACGCACACACGCACGCGTACGCACACACACATACACACACGCACACACCCACACGCACACGCACACACGCACGCACGCACACACACACACATACACGCACGCACGCACGCACGCACGCGGACACACACACACATACAAAAGCATACAAACACACACGTACTTACGCACACACGCACAAGACGGGTTGACCACTGCCTCACACCCTGTTCTGTGCCGGTTCTGTGTGTATATGTGGGGAGGAGGGTGGGGGTTAAAGAGAACACTAATGCCAATATAATCTTCCATTTTTAGGCGAAGAGGCAGGAAGGAAAAAATCTAGGGTAATCGATATCGGGGCTAGACAGCCGCCTGCAACGAACAATAGTTTCGAATATACCTCGAAATATGTATTTACAGGAAGTCAGCTGCTATATAAGTTATCCGAATTACAAAAATTGCAAGAGACTTAGTTGCTTCAGACTGCCATAGTTGCTGGTGCTCTGTGGAGGATCTGGCAACTATGACTGTGAGAGTGGGTGAGCTAGAAGCTAGAACCACAAGGTGTTGTAGATTCACTGCTTTTCCCCTGGGAGATGCGATTGTAATGTTCGGCAGAGCTGAGCAAGTACTACAGTGTGTGCTAGCTGTCACCACAGTCTGGGGCTGAGAATGCATTAGCTAGGAGTACAAGGTGTGGGTCCACTGTTCCACCCCTGGTAGCTGTTTCCACTGGGGCTGAGAATGCATTAGCCGAGAGAGAGAGAGAGAAGAGAGAAGAGACGAGACGACGAGAGAGAGAGAGAGAGAGAGAGCAGAGAGCAGAGAGAGAGAGAGAGAGAGAGAGAGAGAGACCAGCAACGCTGAAGCGTGGCAGTTAGGTAGCAAGGTAACACGCACAGAGTAATTCTCTTGCGTAATGAGTCAGAAACAAAAACAGGCTGCAAGTATAAGCAAGCATATAGTATTAGTACTAGTATTAATACTAGTAGTAGTAATACTATTAATAGTAATAGTAGTAGTAATACTATTAATAGTAATAGTAGTAGTAATACTAATAGTATTACTAATACTAGTATTAGCAGGAGATATTAGTAGTAGTATTAGTACTACCAATATAACGTCCACTTCCGGTAGCCGCCCGCAACGATATCTGCTCCTGTACAACTCCGCGTGCAGACAGCAGACGTCATAAAACAGCGTAATCACCCACAACACACGGACCACTGGGGTTGTCTGGGCTGAGCGGACGGGGGGGGGGTGGGGAGAAGGGGGGGTGGGGT